TGCTCCCGCTTTCCCTGGCACCAAGCCTTGCCTGGAGACATGGCCAGCAGCCCCGCTATGTCCCAGGGCTCTGGGGCAGCCACTTGCCAGGGTACCTGGACCCGGGATGCTGCAGTGCCCCATGCCCGTGGGGCAGTGGGCGGTGTGTGTTGGGAGGTCTGTGCCAACACGCTGTATGCATTCCCCACAGGACGCCTGACCTTTGGCCTGGGACAGCCCGGCGCTATGGCAGACCCCCCTGGCTGCTGCCATCCCTGTGCCACCTGCCTGCTCTGCCTCTACAGCTGCCAGTGGATCACTGCCAAGAAGGAGAAGAGGAAGGGCCTGAGAACCACCAAGGTGATACCATGGGTGATCCTGAGCTGGGGCTGGCCAGCCCCTGCATGGGAGGCTCAGAGTGGTGGCTGGGGTGGGGAAGACTCTGGCTGGGCGGCTCAGCCCAGACACTGGGCTGCTGACCCCTTGCCACTGGTCCTGCTCCCCCAGGTTGAGCCCCAAGAGAGCTGGGGTGCTACCTGGCATCCTCTCTGTCCAGGCACTGCCCTAGCCTGGAGCAGTGAGAAGGTGAGAGGGTGAGCTGTCTGTTCCTGCTGGGTGACAAGAAGGGTAGAGCAGCATGCTGGCAGTAGCAAGGCTGAGCCGTGGCTGTCCCCTGCCTGGCCAAGCACGTGTCTGCGGCAGGGCTTGCGCGTGCCTGGAGCAGAGCGCCGCACTCCCCGAGGGCTGAGCGTGGCGGGCAGGTCTCGGAGCACTGAGTGCCTGGCAAGGCACGTGGGAGGCGTGGTTCCTGGGCTGGGTGCAGCATCCGCCGATGGGGTGCTGGAAGGGGGTGTCCCCGGCAATTTGTAACCTGGGAGGGGTGAGGCCCTGGGATTCTCTGAGGTCTCCAACTCCCATGGGAGCGGCTGTGCTGCTGCTTGTCCCGTCTTGCCTGGAATGTATGAGCTTGTCTGGACTGCCGGGTGTCCCGTTCAGCACCTGTGTCACCCCTCACCTCCCTGTGTACACGGGGTTAGGGACCCTGAAACTGGACCTGGCTTTGGGTGGGCAAGCAGGAGCAGTCTGCAGGCTCACCACTGCAATGGCAGCTCTGAGGCACAGCACTCCTCCCTGCCCAGCCCACAGATCACCCAGCCGGAAGCGAATAGGACCTGGCTCCTGGCCCCTTCCCATGTCCAAAGTCCCAGCCTGCTCCCAGGGGCTGCTGCATGGGAAAGGAGGCAGTCCTGCCACAGGGGCTGTCCTCCCCAGCCTGGTATAGGCAGCTTTTTAGCTTTGTAGGAGATGCTGGTCCATCCTCCTGTAGCATGGGTCCAGCCAAAAGAGCTCTCCTGGGGAGCTCTGTTCCCTCTCCGTGGGGCAGCTCAGTGCCTGGACCCATGAGCACCACGCTGCTGCAGGCTGGGTGCTCCCCAGGGGTCTCAGCAACCTGGCCAGGGGTTAGGTGCCCTGCAGGTGTGTGCATAGCTGTCATCTCTGGTTTTCAGTGCGACTGCAGCTGGTTCCTTTTCCTCTTCTGTGTCTTCCTTTTCACACTGGTGTGGCTCTACTTCGCCATCATCATCCTCAATGATTTCCACAACTTCAATGAGTAAGTAGGATCCCACGTCCAGCCTTGCTCCCGTGTCCCCCCTGCCACTCTGACCATTCCCCTTTGCTGGCAGGTTCATCTTCAAGCAGAGGAAGTTGTGGCTAGACTGGTCCCTGGTCCTGCTCATAGCTACAGCCGTGCTGATCACCTACTCGGCTGTGCTGCTGGTGAGCCCCACTGATCACACCTGGGCTAGTGGGGGTACAGAGCTGTGCTGAACACAGGCTGGCTGCCGTGCCCTGTGCAGAGTCAGGTGGAGCATGCAGCATTCAGCCTGCTGGAGCTGTGTCAGCCTGAGCATGGCCAGAGACCCTGCCTGTGTCAGGGGGCCAGAGCTCCTGTGGCTGAGTCCTGTGCCCTTAGAGGGCTGAGGAGTGGGGTACAACCCAGCTCTGACACCTCCTTGTTCTTCTCACAGGTCCTTGCTTTGTGCTTGCAGCTCTGCGGCCAGCCCTTGAAGCTACACTGGCTGCACAAGGTGAGAGACTGGCAGTGCAGGGAGATGGTGCCTGCCCTGCTGCCCTTGCACCTTGGGAAGCTGTGACCAGCCTACTGGGGCTGCATACAGCTGCTGTGACCCCACTGAGTGGCTGTGTGTCCCCGCTGAGCTGGGCTGCAGCTCTTAGTCCCCCAGCCACACATCTCTGGGATGGGAATATTTCCCTTGCTCAAAGCATGGGGTACAGAGCTCAGCTGCAAACCCAGATGGGGAAAGTGGGGTCTCAGGACTTGCAGGGGCTGAGGAGGAAGGGATGCCTGCCCTGCCAGGGCACAGCCCAGCTGGCCTGCAGGATGCTGTGTACTCCCCTAACTGCCCTGTGTCCTGCCCCACAGACCCTGCTGATCTTAACTGCCCTGGTGGTGGCTGCAGCCTTCACAGGGCTGGGAATAAAGTGGGCGGAGGAGTGGAGAAGTGCACATATCTCTCTGCAGGTGAGTCACCTCGATACCAGAGACTCCTCTGCTGTACCCAGTACCTGGCCTGTGGGGATGAACTGAAGGGTGGTGACTGCAGCCCCCAGCATGGCTGTGTGCCATGGAGGTTAACTCCCTGCCCTTGACTTCTGCTGCCTGGCCAGGCAACATGCTCCTCCTGCTCTTGCAGTCCTGCCTGGAGCAGCTGCAGTCAGGGTGATGAACGGTGGCTGGAGTCTGTTCAGTCCCCCCAGGAGCCTGTCCTTCCCTCCCTGGCACTGTGGCTCTTCCGGCAGTGCTGGCTGCAGTGGCAGATCTCTGACATTGGAGCATGTGGATTTTGGGGGGACAGGGGTTGGGCTGGTGCTGGCTGACACCCTGCCTTTGCCTCCCCAGGCAACAGGTCCCTTCCTGCACATTGGAATCGTAGGGGGAATGACGCTTCTTGCCTGGCCTCTGGCCAGCTTCATCTACCGCACCTGCAACACAGGTAATCCCCCTCCAAGGTCTCCACCTACTCCCTCAGCTGGTGCCCTGCTCCCTACCACCCAACCGAGCAGCACTGGTCGCAAGTGGTGCACAAGGAGCGTTAGCGCAGTGAGAACAGATCCTCAGAACTCAGTCTGGTAGTAAAGCCTGCTCTTGGTTGCTCCTTCTCATGCCCAGCCCTTGGTGCAGCTTCAGCCCCCACTGCTTTGCAGCTGAAGGAGGGCTATGAATGGCAGATTGAGTCCTGCAGAAGTGCTGGGTTGGGGTGCAAGGACATGTGGGCCAAGAATAAATCTGCAGTGTTCCTGAGGCTGGGGATGCAATGCCTGACCTAGGGCAACCATAAGTTCATCTGCTTTTGCAGGTGAAGCAGCCTTGGCTTATTCCTAACAGCCTGCAAAATACTTCCTCTGTACCCCTCCTCTCTATCTTCTTTGTCTCTGCCTGCAGGTCTCAAGGTATTTCTGCTGCTTGTGTACTGCACAGTGATGATCGCGCTGTATCTGTCTCCCCTGGGAATCACCTCCCCTTGCATCATGGAGGAGAACCAGCTGCCCCCCAAGCCAGCCCTGGTTGGCCACCGAGGAGCCCCCATGGTGAGTGACCAGCACCAGCAATGTACTGGCGCAGTGGTCAGGGTGGATGGAACAGGCTGCTCCACCAGCAAAAGCCAGTTTGTGCCTAGCCATGTGGCACCGGCATCAGACCCTTGCTGCTGCAGGCCTGGATGAGCTCTGGCCAGCCCAGTAGAGAGGGGTCCCCACACCAGCCAGGGCAGCACAGGGCTGGAGGATGGGTGAGCGCAGAGTGAGGAGGGTGGGTGCAGCAGCCGCAGGCAGAGCTGCTTGCTGAGCGCTGCTGGACCAGGAGCAGGCGACTCTCAGCAGAAAGCCTGGCTGTGTAGTGTGGGCTGGGAAGCAGGGACTAGGCAGGTTCTGGCCCTTTTCCATCCCCCACCCTACCTAGGTGGTTGCCCTACAGCCCAGCCAAGCTGCTGGGTGCAGCCAGGCAGGGTGAGTGCCTGCCTCCTGCTCCTTCGTGCCCCTGCCCTCTGCAATAACATTGTTCCTTTTCCAGCTGGCCCCCGAAAACACCCTCATGTCACTGCACAAGGCGGTGGACTGTGATGTGCAAGTCTTTGAGACAGACGTCATGGTGAGGTAAAGGGGCAGCAGGGATTCGGAGGGAGGAAGGGGCCTGTGTATTCTGGGATGTCACCTCCCACATGGGGCATTCTGGAACACACCTGAAAGACTGATATAGCCTGCATTTGGAGGCAGCCCTGTTCAAAGGACTCTGCCATTCCCACCTTCCCAGTATGGGACTGGTTCCAGCTTGGTGTCCCAATGATCTGGGAGAGGTACTGGGTTTCTGTCCTCCCCATGCAGGTTGCCTTCCAGGGCATTAGGAGGTAGGCACCATCAGGGGAGGGGCACTGCTTGAAAAGCAGACCCCGGCTCTAGTTCATCTCGTGCAATCCTGCTATGGGGACAGCTATTGCAGTGAGCAAGGAACTACTTGGTTCCTGGCTTGGTCTCTAGGTGCTCTGTGCTTTCCGGACACCCACCTTTTTGTGTAGAGGGCTACAAGTAGGCATAAGGGTGGGGGTTACTCTAGCAGGGTGGCTGGAAGGGTGCAGAAATGCTAGGGCAGGGATAGGAGACAAACAGCTTGCAACACAGAGCTTCCCTCTCTGCTCCTTCGCCAGTGCTGATGGGGTCCCATTCCTCATGCATGACGAGGAACTCACCAGGACCACCAACGTCGAGGCTGTGTTCCCTGAGAGGGCTGCCCTGAACAGCACCGCCTTCAACTGGACAGACCTCCAGCAGCTGGATGCTGGCAGCTGGTTCCTGGAGGTCAGGATGCCCCTGGGGTAGCTGGTCAGGCATTTGTGGGTGAAGCATGAGCCCTGCCCTGGGGAAGGTTCTCTCTGCAGCACTGGTTCTGGCAGACACCTGCGCAGGGTGCAGAAGCAATTCCACGCCTGCACGAATCCCTTGGGTGCGGTTACGCCCCAAGCTGGGGTTTGTTCTGACTCCTCAGCTGAGTCACAGAGGAGGCTGGTTTGAGGGGAGATGTCTCATGCATTTGCTCTGAGCTGCACAGCCTGCCTGGGCTTGGAGGCAGCTGTGGCAAGGCTCTTCCCAAAAGGTGACTAACCAACTGCTGAGCTGCTCTGAATGCCCACAGGTGTTGGGGCTGCTTGAATTGTGCTGTTAGTGGGGAGAAGGGTAGAGGTGACCCATGGATGTGCAGGGGAAGGATCCCTGTGCCTGTCTGCACTGGAGAGCATGTGGAGAGGCCAGTGTAGGAAACCGAGAGCCAGAGACAGGCACCAGTTTGGGAGGTGGAAGCTTACAGGAGGGTCTGCCTATGATGACTAACTCTCTCTCACCCTTGCAGCGGAGGCCATTTCCCACTGTGCAGAGTCTTTCTGCTGGCGATCGCTATCAGGCAACTAAACAGAGGATCCCATCCCTGGAACAGGCGCTAGAGGCAGCCAAGCAGAGCAATATCTCCATCATGTTCGACCTCCGGCCTGAGAACCACAGTGACTACCAGAGCTTTGTCAATGCCACCCTGGAAGTGATCTTACAGTCAGGCATCCCACTACAGCAGGTGAGCTGGCCACCGCCCCACCACTGCTGGGCCCTGCTGTCACACCCTTACTGTGGTGGGAGCTGCCCTGCCAATCTTACCGAGCATCCTTGCCACACCATACACCACATCCCCATATGTGATCCCTGCTGGGGAAACCTGTCCAGGCATGGGGTTCTGTAGCTGGGAGAAATTGCCAATAATTAGGGGGTTAATACCTACAGCTTCAGACCCCTCCAAATACTCTGGTTCCCCAGCACTGGCCACCCTGGTGTGTAAACAATGACTCAGTCTAGGGAGGGGACCAACAGTGCTAGCAAGAGCAGGAAAACAATGCTTAGGCTTCCACCTCCCCGCGCTGCGCCACACCTCTCCCTGCAGCTCTTGGACTCCTGCTGCAACCTCCTGTGTTGCCTTTGCACTTCATCCAACCTCTGCAGCACAGGACTTGTGCTGCCCTGAGGGGATGAATTAGCACCCAAATTGCTTTCCATTCTTGGCTTTTTGGGAATGCAGAGCAGGAGGGGACACAGTGAAGACTTGTACTGTAGTGCTGATCCAAGGTGCATTCTTGCTGCAGAGTTGGGGCCAAAAGGATGCACTGCTTGATCCATTCAGGGACCCAAAAAGGACATAACTGCTGCAGATTTCTTAGGCTGGAACTACTTTCTCCCCTCAGTGGGGTCTGTTGTGCTTACTCCTTGGCTGGGACAAGCTCTTAGAAGACTGTCCTGGCTGAGATCCTCATGGAGGAGCTGAATGTGGAGAGGGGGGCAGGAAGCAGCTGTCTGAGCAGGCCATGTGTGCCTGGACCTGCAAGGGAATATTGGAAGAGAGCAAGCTCTCTGGAGCACCTCTCCTCTGCGTGTTCTGTCTGGCTCTTGCCTAGGTCCTCTGGCTGCCGGATGGGTTCAGGGAACAGGTCAAAGAGCAAGCCCCAGGTGTTCAGCAAGTTTATGGCCGGAAGAGACTCCAGAATGAGAAGGAGCCACTGCTGCATGTCAATCTGCCCTACCAGGACATGAGCTCTGAGGAGATCAGGTGAGAGCCCTGTGCCCAGGAGCCTGGGAGCTGTGGGCTGTGGGGCCTGGACATTGTCCCAGCTCTGTCCCAGGGGCCCGCAGAGGTGAGGGCCAGCTGAGGCTGAGTGCTGGCGCACTGCTGGGAAAGGCAGGGTGTGTGCTACAGCCCTTGCGGACAAGCATGCCTTATCAGGCGGGGCTGGTGCAGGGGATGGAGCTGGCTGCAGTCCTCTGCCTTGCCAGCAAATCTGCCCTGGGTCTGGCTCTCTAGACAGTTGCTCCATGTGGCTGCAAATGCTGGATCACATCCCAGACATACAGTCTTCTCTGGCTGTACACTGAGTGTGCCAGCACCCTGCTGTCTGCTGCTCTGACCACGGCTGTCCCTATGCAGGCAGTACCGCCAGGACAATATCTCTGTCAACTTGTACGTGGTGAACCAGCCCTGGCTTTTCTCTGTGCTGTGGTGCTCTGGGGTGAGCTCTGTCACCACCAATGCCTGCCAGGTGCTGAAGGACATGAAACACCCCATCTGGCTGCTTGTAAGTGACTCCTCCATCCTTCACTCTGCCCCACAGCCCTGTGCCTCAGGCACTTGTGGGTCCCTTTCTCCAGCGGCCCTGGGCAGCCAGCTGCCTGGAGGGTGGCTTTTACTCAGTGCTGTGCTGGCATGGGAACATGTGACCCTGCAGAAGGGACTGCTGGCACAGCAGGCTGCGCTGTGCCACCAGCACACCACCCCTGGCTGGTGTTCATGGCTTGCCTTGTTGCCTTGCAGCCCAGCAGCACGTACCTCATGGTCTGGATTGTTGTAGACTGCGCTTCCTTCCTTGCCATCCTCTGGGCGTTCCTCTTGCTGAAGTACGTTTGATCCCTTTCCCCCAACAGGTCTGTTGGGGGTCCTCTGGGTGGCTGGTACATACCCAAACCCGGCTGTATCTGCCGGCACCCCTCTCTGGACTCAGATCCTTGGGGGGTCCTCTGCTGTTTGGCTAAGTGAGACAGCAGTGTGTGGAGGCAGCTTTTATCACCAGGCTGCAGCTAAAAATCTGGTTTGACCCTTCCTCAAGCTGCTGGATGCCTTAGTTCACACTTACTAGCTTGCTCTGCACCCCAGGGCTTGGTGGGCTGAGGCTGGGGGACCTTGGTCCTGCTCCTTTACCAGTGCTGCAGGCACTGAGAGCAGATCCCTTGTGGGACTGTGCGTCCTGTGGGGCCCCGCAGTCTCCAGCTGGGAGCTCGGGGGAGGGAAACGCGAGGCCAGACTGACATGCTAACATCGATCCTATTCCATCTCCTAGGAAATGCTCCCAGAGAAGACGGCCAGCGGGTAAGTGTGCATGGATGTAAGCTCCCCTCCCTCAGAGCCAGGCTGTGCCTGCGGGAGTCTCCCTGGCAGGCAGGCAGTTTTCTCCAGCCGAACATGACAGAGCAGTTTGGAATGGCTGGGGGAGGGAAGGGAATCCCAGCCCAGGGAGTTCCTGTCCTGCCTTTAGCAAACAGCCATGTGGGACAGTGCTGGGGAATCCCACATTCCCCAAGTCTCCTCAAACCTGCTTTTCAGGCTGCTCCGCCTGTTGCTGCGGGATGGTGGCTGCCTGCAATGACTGTTTTTTCTCTCTGTCTCCCCAGAGTCCGAGACGGATGTGCTGCTCACAAAGATCAACAGCTTGATGCAAGAGTGACCCCTCCGGCCTGCATCAGCCATGGGGAGGGGCATCCAGAGCCCTGCACAGCTCAAGTGGGGAGCACTCCTCAGGGCAGCTTCGAGGCTCCTTTCCTTTGCAGACTCCTTCCTGAGCTTCCCATCCCTCATAGCCTTCCTGGCTCCTTGCATGGTGCACAACTGCCCTCAGCTGAAAAGACCTGGAACTGGGTTCCCAGTTCCCACTAGCAGCAAGGAACCGGAGCCTTTGCAGGGGTTTCCTGGGGTTGGCTTGTGCCTGGGGGCTGAGTATTTATGCAGTGGTGCTGGGGCTAAGACCTCTGCCCTGGGGTTTGGAGACTAGTGGGGGTTTGAGTTGCTGTTTGGTGCAGGGAAAGGGCAGCCTCTGGCTGTCATCGCCAGCCACTGAAGTGCTGCTGCCCTGCGGGCTGCCCTTGCCCCATGGCTTGAGGAGTAGGAAGGGGGATGCAGGGGGATGGCTTTTCACAAGATGGAGGGGGAGCTGAGCTCTTCCCACCCCCATGCTGGACACAAGTCCTGCCCCTGCTGCTGCTGGCTTCATGCTTGCGGGCACCCCATGCAGTTGTTAGTGCCTGATGCTCTGGGGGGAAAGGGAGCAGGGGCTGGGGGTAGAGGGTGTCTGGGTCTGGCAGGACAACGGTCATACTCCTGCTGCTGCCAGGCTACAGAGGTGTGCGAGGGAGAGGAGCGGTGGGACTCAGCGTTGGTCACTTTGCATCTGGGCCTTGAACTTGGAAAGGAGGATC